ACCGCCAGCTTCTTGGAGTGTTTGGAGGCTGGGGAAGCCTCAAAACACTCCCAGAAACTGGCAATTTTGCCAGTGGGAGGAGCATCGCAAGGGTCTGAGTGAGCTTCCAGGACCCTTGCAACGTTCCCCCCACCAGGAAGCTGGCGATTTCGCCTGCGCTGGCCCCGTGGGGGTGGGGGAGCATCGCAAGGGTCCTGGAAGGCTCCCTCGGACCCTTGCGACGCTCCCCCCCACGGGGCCAGTGGGGGCGAAGTCACCACCTTCGCACCATAAGACGCACAGACTTTCTACCCCCCTTTTGGAGGGGGAAAAAGTGCGTCTTATGGTGCAAAAAATACGGTATATAATACTAAGAATATGCTATCTAAGGTCTGAAATAGCCCTCTATACAGATTTTCCATGCATAGTAGTGGGGGAATGGGACCAAACTAATGGTCCTGTCCTTCATTTGTTCCTTGGATGTGCATGTGTTAAGTGGAATATCTGCAAAAGTGATGTATATGCACATAAAAGCTGAGCACATACAGGCCTCCATGAAACTGAGAACCCAATGATTCAGGGTTCCCATTTGCAGGAAGACTACATGCATTGAGCTCATGGGCTTTCCCTTTATGGAATCATGCTCAACAAGGATATTAAATGAGGAGATGGCATCATGGCTGGGGACAGAAGACACAGTTTCCATTCCTATCCATAACAACATGTGCAAAGTGCTTTTGTCTAAGTGGCCACGTTACTAGTGCACTGCATAGGCACAAATGCTGTCAAGCTCTGTTGAAGACCCAGGCACAACACCCAAAGAGGATTCTGAAGCTGTTAATATCCTTGAGCATGGGCAACCCATGGACCAAGTGGCAGGGTGAATCACCCCACATTTTAGTGGAGAACTGTTTGGTCCAAAGTCACCCACATCCTCAAAGTGATAAAAGGTAAGATAGAAAAGGGAATCTGCAATGGGGCATGAACTGGTTTGTCCCAGTTTGTCCCCTGCCTCTGCCTCTTCTGGGTCAATCAACCACTCACCAGGAGCAGCTGGTGCTAGCCAGGTGCTAGCTTCCTGCACCTCCTAAACTGATCTTCCAGTCCTGGCATCAGCTCAGGCTTCTCTGCCCCACTCTCTTGACTGATCTCCCACTCATACAAAAAGGCAGGGCAGGGAAGTCTGTGTTCTTGCTTGTGACTAGGAGATGAGCTGAGGAGGTGGAAGAAGCAAGCAAGCTGGGACTGGTGAGTGGGTGGCTGTCTGAGGAGGCAGGGGAGGAGAGCTTATGAACTGAGACAAACGGGTTTGTGCCCATCTCCAATGGGGGAAACAAACAAAAAAAAGCCCACCAGTGAACACAGAAATAAAAGGCAGCCAAGAATTTTGGGTGTAGGAGGGCAATTAAGTGAAATATCTCACGTTCCCCATTTACAGTAGCTTTTAAAAGGAAGACAAAAAAACACCTTAAAATTAAAGGCTCCTTACCGCATGCCCACATATCCACAGGCTTTCCATAGGGATCTTTTCTCAGCACTTCAGGGGACAAGTAACCTGGTGTACCAGCAAAACCTAAAAAAGGAAGTATCCTTACAGTAAATGGAACATATCCATCTAGTATCAGACAAGCTTATAAAACATGCTTTAAATATTTATGTGCATGCTGCATTTTCACAACTCTTTCATCTCGGCCCATCTGTCTTTGCAAGGGAGACATTTGTGAATTTACTCCCCTAAATCCAGCACAGGCCTTCAGCTATGAAGGGAGAGACTGATTCCCAGAGAACAGCAACTTTCCCAGTTTTCTTGTCAGTCCCTCTAGACATGTGAAGTTTTTCCATTTCCTTTTGTCTTATGCTCCAGGACTTTAGCTGGGCTTTGAACGCTTCAGAGGGACAAAACAAAACCAAATGGATAAACTATTTGTGTATCTTCTATAATCAACTGTTCTTCTTCCGCCAGTACTCTGGAGGAAAACCTATATGACCACCATAGACTGGTGGAAAGAATCTGACGTAAGCTCCTACAAATTTTTTGCAAGACTACTGCAAAACAAGAAATGAAGCACCGGATCAGATAGATTTTGTTTTCTGAAAGAGATACAGGTGTGAACTGGAAACAAGGGTCATCAGTGGCCAGCTCAGAAGAGCAGTGGGCAGTGCAAAACAGGCACTTCTGTAAAGGAAAACAAGTCCAACTTATAAAGGACTGGAAAGTCCTATTAAGTTAGTCCCATAGGCAAATATACCCTTGAGCCTCCTTGAAATCTAACAGGGAAAACAAAATCAGTCCCCTTCTAGATGATTAAGTAATTAAGGATCTCTGCTTTGCTTCTGTCTGCCCACTTTCCCTGTCTTTTTTTTTGGGGGGGGGAGGGGAATGTGAAGGTTGAACTGATATAATAACCAGACTATGAAAGTTGCTGCTGATATTTCAGTGCCTGTTAACCATGGATGGGAAACCTGTAGCCTTTAGATGCTGTTGAATTCTTATCACCTCTGTCATTGGCCATACTTGTAGGATTTGATGGAGGTTGCCATGCCAAAAAAATAATAAATAAATAAACAAACAAACAAACAAACAAACAAACAAACAAACAAACAAACAAACCCTGGAAAATCACAGAGGCCTCACCTGTGTTTCAGTAAGTCTATGGCTACTAAACAAGGTAACAGGACTGGCAGGTGGTCCAATATATGAAGATATCATTGATTGAATCTTTCATCCATCTTGCGTGTATTTCAGCTTCCACTGCTACTGTTTATCATAGACGGTTTGCAACCTTGGGTAATCCAGGTATTCTTGGACTTCAGCTCCCAGAACCCATTACACTAGCTGCGTTGGCTGAGGTTTCTGGGAGCTGCAGTCCCAAAAAACACTTGGGTTACGCAAGGATGAGAACCTTTGTCATAGATAACAACAGCTGGCTTTATAATGAGGAAGAAGCCTTTGGATTTTATTTTGCACGATCCAGTAGGACAGTGGTTCCCTCTTTTGGATCCCTAAATGTTCTCGGACTACAACTCCCAGAAATACTGGCCAGCATAGCTAGCAGTGGAGGCTTCTGGGAGTTTTAATTCAAGAACACCAGAGGACCGAAGGTTGGGAACCACTGGTGTGGGAAAATATTTTGATTATTAGGGTACTGGAATATATTCAACTATTACTTCACATTTCCTGGCCTTTTTTTTTTGTCATTATCAGAAGAATCTTTAAGCACCTCAGAAACATTCAGGGTCATATTATACATCTTCTTGTTATTTGTTTTTAAACTTGACAACTTCTAGAAAGGTTTCAGGCAGCAAATCAACCCATGTCTGTTAGAAGGCTTGTAGGGCTGGAAAGGACCCCATGGATTATCGAGTCTAGCATCTGCTGGGGAAGCACTGTGGGGAATCGAACTCCCAACCTCTGGCTCTACAACCACAGACCGAAACCACAGAGGTATCCAGCAGTTCTCGAAAAAAAACATATTGTGAGAGATTAAGGAAGCTGTAGAAGAGGCAGAATCACTTTCTGTTGAGTTTTTCCCCTTCAGGAAAGAAATGTTTAGAGTAGCCCAGCAGGAAGTTTCCAAAACTTCGCTGCAAGAGATTCCACTCCGCTATTATTGTGGAAAAAAGGTGGGCAGAGACAGTGTGGCAGTTAAACAAATAAAAAAAATATTAGAAGTAAAAAAATGTTTTCTTACCAAACCAGGCCTGTTGTTCACCTTGCACTTCAATAGCCAATCCAAAATCTGCCAGTTTCACAGCTGCTCCCTTTGACTTGCTAGCCAGAAGCAAGTTTTCAGGCTTTATACACAGGAAAAGGAGGGGAGAGGGGATGAGACATGTAAGTCAATTGCTTTATTACATGAGCATGACGGATCTATACACAGGTATCTCTAGTAAAGGTGATAAGATTATAAATTTCTCATTATGAGAGTTTCCTTTTGCAGATCCAAAGGCACAGTATACAGAGCAATTCCAGAACAGCTTCTAAAGATTGTTTCCCTCTGTAGATTTTTGAACCTTCCTTCCTCTGCATGAACCAAACATTAGCAGCAGAAACAGGAAAATCTCCTTTGGGGGCTATGACTCCCAAGATCTCCCATTTTATATTGTGAATGGTCATGTTGAACAAAGCCTTTTGGGAGCTGTAGCCCCCAAATTTAACTCTTTCAAGTTATGGTGAAGAGTTTAGAGCCTCTACAACTAGCCTGCCCAAGCCTCTAGGAACATTCTTTCTTTGAAAACTTGAAAACAGTGCTGACGAAGGTTTAGCTATGCTGGATTAAAAGGACCATTGATCTAATTTACAATAGTACTCTGAAGGAATATGTCCTTGACACCATCCACTACAGAATGCTATTAAACAGAGAAACTATGTTCTTATTACACTGAGTACCTGAAAGTAAGAAACAACTAACAGTTTTTTATCTGTAAGGGAAAATCTTATTGCCCCAATGATTACGTAGGTTATATTTCTCCTTAAAACAAATTACTCTATTACCATACGATAAACTACGAAGTTCAGATCACCTACTGAAAGCCACCAAGGCCATCTTCGGATGGGTTGAAATGTCTCAAATAAAGCAAAAAGCCAAGTGTGTTGTTCATATACCTCCTCGTAACACTTAAAGCACCCACTGGGCAGTTCACTATTTAATTAAGCAGGCTACACATTTCCTTTGTACAACTGGAAAGCACGGGAGATTTGTACAAGCTGGATAGTCAATTTATCATCTTCAGAAGGATGGAAAAGTGAGCCAACTTTGAGCTAGCTACTTGAGCCTGTTAGAACTGAACTCGGCTCATGAGCAGAGTCTTGACCACAGCACTGCAGTTCTGATCAATATGCCCTTAGGCTTTAATAAATAGTTTGCTGAATGAGACAACTCTTTATTTGTCACACAAATTGTTAAAAAAAGAGTATGTTTGCTAAAAAATTACCATATTTCTTTTTCAGACTGTTTCTACAGAATCTTTTTTTTTTTTTTTTAATCAGAGAACAAGTTGTTAAAGATGGTTTCCTGGAAAACTTTGCTTATGTAAAGTGCTACATTCACTGGATAATCCTCTTTACTGGTGACTTTAAAAAATCCAGTGTAGTAGGTTGTTAGATTATATACACATACCAAGTAGGTAAATATAAATCCTAATTACAGCAGACTATAAAAAGAGCTAGATTTTCCTTCCTCCTGCTCCATTAGAAGTACTTAGCACCTGTCAATGAATCATTTTGGACCAAAGTACAATAAAGCAAACATCGTTATCAAAACAAAATAAATATGCTTCATTGCAAAACAGCCACACACTTCAGTAGCAAACTCAACTGACTTCCAGGCAGCTGGACTCCGCTCTTAAAGGAACATGCAACAGCCATTACAAAACAATAGGGATAGTTCACATGGTTGTCATGCATGAGTTCTGAACATGGTCAGGCAAATGTGCACAACTGGAAAGTACGGGAGATTTGTACAAGAAAATCTTGAAAATCCATCCAGGACAGGGACAAGTTAGTGTCTAGATCACACCGTTAAACTTTAGCTGCAATCATGCATGTAGTCGAAAGGAGACAATCTCTGAGCGGCACTCTTATTTTGTTGCAATGTGAACAAAGTGTTCATATATTTTTCCCCTGGGTAGATACCAAACTAAAAATTGAAAACAAAACAAAAATAAAGTCAAGTTTTAGATTTTAAAGCTGTCATTTCAAAGCATCTGGCAGACTAGATAGCATAGCCAGGAATAGTTGCATTAACACAAAGGATACTTGTGACCAACATTAAGTAATTCTGGAAAAAGGTATTTATTCCAATGTAAATAAAGTTAGCCATTGTCTGGACTAAGCAAAGTCTCACTAAAACCAATGACATAAGTTAGGGTGCAGTTGCACATCATAATACTCCTGGTTTTGCATCTGGTTTAGCATGCTTGAAACTGATTTCTTTTCTGAATACACAATGCACAGTTAAGTGCACATATTTTTTGGACAGAAGCAAGTTATTTTAAACAGCTATTTGGAATTTAAGTTTGGATTTTTAATGAGATGGTGGGGTAGTAGTCATTATACCTGAATACTTCTATATGCCTTAATAATCTTTGAATAGGTTTTCATCTTTGTATGATTAATAATTCTATGTACTTTATGTTTGATATGCTTGTTTTCAAGTGTTGTAAACTGCCTTGAGCTCTGTATATAGGGAGAAAGATGGTAAGTAACCTTGAATCTGTAGATACAATCAAGAAATCTCTAATCAATTCTGATGTGATTGGAGAACGCTGGTCACATAAACAGCACAAACAGTAATACTTGTATGCCATTGAATCAATTCTGTTTTATGTTGTCCTTTTGCAGGGTTTTTTAAGTAGAGTTCACCATTCCCTTCTTCTGGAGGCATCCTGGGACTGTGTATCTTGACCAAGGCCACACAGGCTGGCTTTTCTGGAATGCATAGTGGGGAATTGCGCTCCCAACATTTGGCTCTGCAGCCAGATACTTAACTCACTGAACTATCCAGCCAAACAGCGTAGAAAGAATGCGCTAATCCTTGAAAATAATTGCTTAAGCCCAATAAAACCTGTTAGGTATGTTCTCCTAAGACTCTTCACTGGTTTTGCTGGGATCCATAAAGTTTCTGAAGGCTTACGGCTAAAGTTGATAAGTGAGTAGTGCCCACTGAAACTATGGTTTGAATTCGGGTTGAGATATTTGAAATCAGTGAAAGTTGGGCTAAAAATTGTGTTGCTTTTCATTTTGTCAGTGATACTGAGACAAGTGGGACACAAGGCCAAATGGCATGTGAATCGGTCAATATGTACGTCAATCTGCCAGTGGCATGAAGAGTTAAAAAGAACAAGAATTTCTAAGGGTGCACGTGTGTGCACGGATGCGCACACACACACGAGAGAGAGAGAGAGAGAGAGATGTCCTGTAAGGATTGCTTTGTATAATTTGTTGGAACATGTTTAGAATTTCTCAAATACTCTGCAGGGTAAATTACACACATTGCAGTCATAAGAGAGCTTATTTGTAGATAAGATAAAGTCCCACTGTTTTCAGCATGAAAGGTTTACATCCGTATTTAATCCTTCCTTTTGAATCAAATACAATGTAGAGTCTTGTGGCACCTTTAGCTAATATATTGTGACATAAGCTTTTAAGAGCTAGAAGCCACATCCTCCAATGCATGAATAAGCTGCCTAGGTGGTTAAGCATATGCACTATGAGTATACAAACACATATTTGTATATAAATCATACGAATGTGCATATATATTTTTTTCTTGATGAATTCTGGGCACACATACTTATTCAACTTAAGCAAACATACCAGGCACAAATTAATATGGAACCCAGTCAAATGAAAGCAAGACCTAGTCTCTTTGGAGATAACCCATTCCTGACTACTGCCCAACTAACAGAAGATCAACAGTGTTCAACAAATACCTGAAGAGAGATAGTCCTTTTTCAATAATAAGCCAGCAACTTCCAGAATATGAACTTTGATAGTGGTAACCCAGAAGCCTCCCTATGTTTGACTTTCTCTTTGTTTTTGAAGAATTATAACAAATTTAGGGGTTATCAGAAAATCCTATCCTCAAACTGCTGGGTTATGACAGAATCAAATGGCTTTAAAGATGCAACTTGGGCTGGGCTTTTGAAGTCACAGTTATTGTGGTTTTGTGCTCACTGTTATATATCCTGGGCTTGCCAAATTTCACTAAATTATATTACATGTCTAAAGAACAAGATTTACAAATTAGGCAGCACTCACTATTTCAAAATCCCAGGAAGAATCAAGCAGAAAGCAAAAAATCAGAGATTATGACTTCAGGAAGAAACCAATAAGTTACAGAAGACAGGGAGGTAAGCCTTTGTCATGCCTGGCAGAGCAGAATCAATATCTATTTTATGTGTGTAGGGATATGTGAATGACACAGACGAGGTATCATATTGCACTCAATGATGTGGTGTATCAGTATTTCATCCTTTGACACTGGAATATGAATGTCTCTGTTTCGACAAAACAATAATGACAACTATGACAGCCAATACACCACTTCAGCTCGAATACACAAGACTAATTGAACAGTAGGAACCAATACAGAACCTGTGGAAAATGTGCTGATGAATTGCAGCTCAATAATATTCTATTCCTGTGAAGGAACTGGGAAATTAGGAGATATTATATTCTTCCAAAAAGTTCAGGCTTCTTTGTTGGTCCCTGGGAACAGGTGGCTGGAAATGTGTACGCAGTATCTGCCCATTAATGGGAAGAGTATAAACATCTGCAATTTAAATTTGTGAATGAGGCCCTCAAGGCCAACTTGGCTTGCTCTCCGATACAATACTACTTGGCAAATGCCTTGATCTATGTGAAGGTAAATGGACAGAAAATGCCCAATGTCCATTTAAGGAAATTTGAAGCTTGACTAGCAGACTATCTAGAAGGGTTCAGAATGGCATGATTAATGTATTAAAAAGAATTCAGAAGTCACTTTAGTTGATTTAGCTTCTCTCTTGGGAGATACTATGCTCAGTTGCTGTCCTATTGTGCCATGTTTAGAAAGATGCACTCTCTGTATGCTTCAGAACTATGCTGATACTATGCTAATGTGTGAGTATTAGGTAGAGTAGCTAGGCTTTTTTATTTGATAGTGTGGTTTTCTTAATTATTTCAACCTTTGTCCCAATTGCCTTATTTCCTCTTAGTGCTTTTTGAAATCACTTTAGAACATTTGCCTTTCCCCCTTTCCACTTTAATAAAATGTAATAATTTCTCCAACCGTCAGGGGTTTGGCTCAAAGAGTTTGTGGTACTAAAAACAGGTCTTGCCCTGACTAGCCATTGGGAGCTTTGGGATTTTTGTAGGTGTGGTGGCAGTTCTACCTTGCAAGGTGGGTATAATGGTTCTGAGTGCCTAGCCTTATGGGTTTTTGAACTCCATGAAAATACTGCCCAGTTGGGGTAGACTGGAGTATTTTTGGAGGCAGCAGGGACAAGCAGGTTCCCTAATCCCCACCACATTTGACTTTCCTAGGCTCAACCACTTCAGGATAAATGGGGTAATATGGCTAAGTGACTAGAGCAGGACTCCCTGAACCCGGTAATTCCATCACAGTTCCTATAAACACAAGGTTAAACAAGTTAGCCATTTTATGTACGTCCGTGCGTATCAGTGTATTTTATGTATCTGTGGTAGAAAGCTGTTAGTGACAATAAACTGTCTAATTTAAAATGAAACTGATGTAGACTGAGGAAGAAGGCTTTGTATGGCTGAAACTTGTTTAGTTTTGTGCAGCTGAACTTCAACACTATGTTGTCTCTTACCACTGAATAATGTTGTAAGCATTTTTATCCTCATTGTACACTGGCCAGAATCCTATGCATTTGTGTAAAAACTGCTTGTCCTCCCATAGTGAACTGCAGCTAATTCATGACATGCTGGGGCACATCATGATTGTGACTGAGATGAACCTCAGGACCTTCCCAATTAGTCACAAGAAGTGAAAGAAACCTCATGTGAACTTCACTAGGATTCTCATCTCTGTCTACAAATCTACGCTTTAGACTTTTATTGCCTTTTATTTATATATTACGCTTTTTACATGCAACATGCATGTCATATTTCAGAGAGGAAGCTGTGCTGCTTTGTTTCAGCAAGAACAACACGAAAAGCCAAGCCAAGCCCAAAGTATTGGGGCACTTTTAAAGTGTAACAAATTTCTTTCATTTGGGGGTTACAATTCATTTCTTCAGACATATGGAACACGTCTAGCTGCCCTAACTCCATTTTGAACTTCTCCGTCAGTTTTAGCCATTTTGTGTAAAGCCATTTTGTGTAAAGATTGATATATACTGTATTAACTTTTTTAATCTTTGCAGTTGGGGTCATTGTACTTGATCTCCACATTTTTCTTCTACAGGCATGAAAACATACTGTTTGGTTGGGATCTGTCCATCCATGCTCTGTGTTTGGATAAGTATTTCTGGCTAAGCCGATGAAACAGCTACGAGTTTTCAAGGGTGTGATTATGTCTCACCTGGTGCCATGACACCTTATTTCTTGGCTGCTTTGCATCCTTTGAATTATACTTTTCACCTCAAAGAAGAATGCTGCACACCAAAGTCCTCCAGTAAAACAGGTTTATTGTTTAACAAATCATAGGCTTCATTTACATGCACACTTTCCATTTCTGGTTTCAACTATAAATCATAAGTTTTAACCTTTTCAAAATGCGTCAAATCCCCTTTAATTTGTTTGTTTATTTATTTATTTATTTATTTTATTTTTACTCCGCCCCTCTAGACCATTGATGAACTGAAGCACATTCTACTTATTTATTCTTCTGCAGAATTTCAGTTTATGTTTATGTCAAACGGAAGGAGAAATGGAAAAGATACCTAAATCTGCTAGGGAAATAGAGCAGTGCAGTTTTTGGTGCGGAGACTTCAACATTATCCGAGAAATCTATAAATTAACAAACAGATGTCTCTTTGCTTCTACATGCAGAATTGCAGCTAAACAGTGCTCTGGGACTGTGGTTGTGTGGTTGTCTCCCCCAACAGCACTACTCACCTTCAGGTCCCGATGGACTACGCCCATCTGATGACAGTGTAGCACAGCCTCCAGGATCTGCTGAATGCAATGACTGCATGCAAACACCAGGGGGCGTGTGTTAGTTCCAAGCTGCACACGCACTGTCTGTATATCCTCAGTGAGACTGGGTTAAAGTGCAAAACCAGCAAACAACCGAGATTGCAACGTACAGCCTCTGGAAATGTACCTGCATTCCTCAGTTAGAGTAGCTACCACCTCAGATACAATGAAGGAATTCATTTAGTTTACCCTGATTTCTGTGGTGTGAACAGAAGGGAGAAAGACTACTGTAATGCAAAAGTCATATTCTTATGCACAAACTTTTCTGTGCTGATTTATAGAGATAATGAGAGCCAATCAGGCCAAATAAAATTATTTATAAGCTTGGTGCTGTCTACCCCTTCTTCTCCATTGTCATTGCAAGGGGTCTCTTATACCAGCAACTCTGAAGGTACAGCTACTTTGTGTAGCAATGTGTTTGAGATGAGATATTCACTCTTTCTAGTTTCATTTGGTCAAACAATTGTCTGCTCACTCTTGCCTGGGAATTGGTTCTACTCTAACAGAGAAATGTGCAGCCACTTGTTCTGCTCCTATAACCCATAGTCTCTGAACAGAAGTGGTGTTTTAAACCTGCGGGCTGACAGACATCACCGGCAAAGTCGGACTGCAGGGGCAAGATGTACAATTGGTGCAATGGCCTTCCAGAAGGTGTAGAGGTAACTATCATGCCACACTTGCTAGGGCTCCTGGAAGGTCACTGCCTCACCACACTCTATTTCCCCTTTGACTGTAATGTATGTTAGACCTGTGAGATCTGCAAACTGGAAAGCAGCATCATGCATTATCCATTGCCATACGAGGGGTGAGAAGAGATTGCCAAGAAAACTTCTCAGCTGACCCACCCTTAAACCTCAAGCCAGAAGAGACAGAGAAGTTTAAAAAAAATAACACACAACTTCTTAGCCAACCTATGGGCACCAGATACTGACCTTGAGGTCTCTGTGAACTATGCCATTTAGGTGACAATGATTAACACTTTCTAGAATCTGCTGTATACAATGACTGTAAAGATATAAGGGCAGAATGGAAGGGAAAAACATTTTAAAGGTACATCATCACATTAAATGCAAAAAAATTAAACAAAAATAACTGAAATAGGTAAGAAATCGAAAATAATCAAATCACATTTTTGGACACATTTTAATTGCACAGTGAATGGGAAGAACACAGCAATGCTGCGTCTGTGTACTGTATATATATAGAATGTTATTTTAAGATCTATCAAAAAGAAATGACATTCAACACATAACATGTGTGGACATAATCCCCTGGGTAGTACTTTCCTTTTTTCCCCCAACAGAAAATATGTTCCTGAAGTGCAGGGCAGTGGGAATGAATATCCATATATATAAGAACACTATAATAATGTGTTTGTGTGTGTTGTACTATTATTGCTTCTATTCGTTCTGAACAATATTAATGATGTGAATGTGGACTAGACCAGTGGTTCTTAACCTTGAGTAATCCAGGTGTTCTTGGACTGCAATTCCCAGAAGCCTTCACCACCAGCTATGCTGGTTGGGGCTTCTGGGAATTGCAGTCCAAGAACACCTGGGTTACCCAAGGTTAAAAACCACTGGACTACATAGAGAAAATACATTAAAAACTTGTCATTGTGCATATCAGACAGATACTGAAAATTTGTGTACCAACTGATTGCTGCTAGGAGTGGAGTTTCCATTAGTATGCCCAGCTAGTATGGGCATACCATATGTACTGTATATCTTTGAACTATGTTGGAAAAGACAGAATATGTAGCCACCACAGGACAGCCACTAGGAATAATTTGTGAAGACTGTGTCCATGTTTAAAATAATCACATTGTCCAACAAGACTTGGAGGTTATGTGTACTGAATGGACAAGAAAAATAATTTTGTTTTTTTCCCCAAATATGCTTTCTAGTGGTTAGCCGAATGGCTGTGTCAGTAATGTTTACTCTCCATTCAACCCACATCAATCCCAAGCTATCAAAAATGTAAATACACACATATACAAAGCCAACAATTGAACAAGAGGATCAGGAAGGGAAAAGTTAAAAAAACAAACAAAAAAACACAAAAAAACAAAGATAACATAAAAGGAGCAACTAGTAACTCCTGAACCTCTGTATTTTTCCTACAGAAAAATAAACAGCTGAGGGGAAACCATGCTATTCACAGTTCTACAATTTAATCTAAAACAAAAGAGTAAAAATGCTGTTATTTTTGCTGTTAGAGAAGAACCCTCAACACTTGAATGATGAAAAGAAAGAAAAGTGAAAGTGATTTTCCCTTGAGTCAGAGCCTTTGCATACCAGAGCAGCAATTCTGGAAGCTGAAGGTACACATGGTTTCTTCATTATGTATGGGAGATTTTCCCTCCCCCTAAACAATTGGATAAAACATATTTGCTAATCTCACACATAAACATGGAGAACCAGGATGCAATCAAGACACATTCACTCATATTCAGAGAAATATTTTTAAAAAATTATATCTTGTTTTACATACTCACAGAATTACATTCAACAGAGCAGGACCATTGAAATGAGTGGGACTTCAGGTAATTTTGGGTTAAAATTCCAATTCATTTCAAAAGATCTGTGCTGGATAGGATAAATGTTGGATTTTAACCCTGCATTTACATATTTTATTAGGTTGAACAGGCCCATCACACTGATTTCCTCCCCTTCATATTCTTTGTTTATTTACAGCAAAAGGTACATGGACTTGGTTGTCAGCCTGTAAGTAATACTGAGAATGCCAAAGATCTCATTTCAATGGAAAAAGATTTTTCTTATATTGGAATCAAGAACTAGTGATAAACTTCATCCCTTCGTTCTAGATCTCCATCATGTATCACATATTTTGTAAGACACTCCAGGAGGCTTTTTGGCTAAAGGGCAGGGTAAACATGCATCCAATAATCAAATAGATGGATTTCTCCCATCTCCAGCAACCAATGAAAAGCTTCTCGTAAGCAAGAATTTTAAAAAAAGTAAATGTGACCTCCAAGGATGAGAAATGTCAGAAGCATATCATGAGAGAGAGTTAAAATGGTGTTTTAGTTGCACTATGCTGGGTATAAGACACTTATCCAGCGGGCCGAGGCAAAGAAGCAGTCCCAAAACCCACAAAATCAGGGAGCTGGACAGGGGACAGACTGGATTTGTCTTCAGTGTGGAAGGGAACGTCACTCTTGAACTGGCCTTCTCAGCCATACTAGTTGCTGTTCGAAGACCTCTATTCAGAGCACATTACCATAGTCTCTCAAGACTGAAGGGTGCCTAATCTAATATTCAGAAAACTCCATACCAAATATATATATAAAAAGAGAGCGAGAGAGAGTCTTGGAAAGTAAAGAGTAAATAGATGCTTCTTAACTTATATAGTGTTTAGCATCTCTTGACATCTACAGTGTTTAAAGGCTTTACCCTCCTTTTCTGTGTAATAATGGCTGGGAGAAAGTGCCAAGTGGTTTTTTTTTGTTGGATAATGCAACAGGGAACACAATTCCAGGAATCCAGGAGTCTGTTTCATCATTCATCTCAAGAGACCATGACAGAAGAAGCTAGTGAAGGTCTAAGCTTTTAGGCTATGAAGGCTAGTTAGGGAATTGGAATCCATCAGGATTAATTTCCTCAGGGCTTATAGGCATCCCTAGTTCTAGACAGCACAATTTACCTGAAGGAACCAAGTTTGGTTCAGAAGATACATGCAGCTCCTTTTGAAGCCTTCTGCAAAACTGCAGGAAGTGCTCATGAAAAAACGTGTGATGATGAAATGAAGACTTGCCAGGCTAATCCACATGGCAAGTGGCTTACAAACACTAGCGAATAAAACCCTTGAAAGGAAACTAATAGTGTTTTCCAAGATTAAATTAGCACTGATGGAAAACTACAACCCAAGAAGCATCACTGGATGTTGGTGCCATAGGGAACTCAATGCGGATTGAAAGTATTAAAGCCCAGCACTTACCTTGCATCTGCTTCACTATAATATTCTCTTGCAACAATGTCCTCAAATAATTCACCTCCAGTGACTCTGTTAATGATATAAACCATTCTTAAGGTCGGGCTGAACTAAATGGGAAACAAGTGTGTGTACTTTTAAGAAGAGTAGAACCAGAGGGCTACTTCACATATTATGCAATAACAAAGAAAAGTTCACACCATGGAAGTATTGGAGACAGTCTCGGGTGCTGCTACCTCGCTCTTCAGAGTACTGGACACCACAGAAATAAATAAAATAATGTACATTAAAAAAAACTGTAAATGTTTTGTCTAAACACATGAATACATGTATACACTGGAAAAAAATGACCTTAGCAACATTGACCTCAATTCACCTGGTGTTCTGGTTCCCACAAAAGTTATCCAAATATTGTTATGTGGTACCAGAGGATCCCAATAGGATGACCAGACATACAACTAACACATTCAGAAATTAGTTCTTAAGAATTAATTCATTATTACCATTAATCATTTTAGTGGAAATTTAGAAGATGTCACTGGTCATGATCCAGAGGTGCACTTCTACTGGATCCAATTGCTTTTGCCTGAACTGTCAATTCCCATTCCCTGCTTTGGTCCCTCTCATGCACTACAAAATCTTTTCCAGAAAATGCTCCAGAAAATTCCAGAAACCCTCTGGAGTAGGTTCTGGCACATGAAAGCCTAGAAAGAGATGGGGCAAAGATGAAAATCCCAGTTCAGTTGGTGCATGGTAATTTCTGTGAGATACTGAAATATAGATGACTAGATTTTGGTCATTGTCATAATAATGATTAGGCCTTGAGAATTATTGTAAACAAACAAACAAACAAAAACAGTGAGAGGAACAAGTTATTTTTCAATGAATTATACCCAGACTCTGAAGATTAAATGCTCTGAACCTCATGGTAAATCTGAGAATTCACCAACTTTTCTACTGCTCTAGCTACTTTTAGCTGAAATTGGAAAACATTATCTTAGAATATTCTATATTACTGTAATATCAAATCCATTAACTGGACCAAAAACCAGTTTCATTTGGCTTTTCATCATCCCCAACTGTCATTTGGCTGCAGCCACTGTGATACAACAAAGGGAGAGAAGAGAAGCAGAGCTACTTCACTGACTGAGCTGATGAACTAGTTGTCTTTTATAACTGAACAATTATAACTTGAAGTAGTGCTTGAGTTTGATCATTTTCCTCTTCCCTGTTCATCTCTTTCTTTTCGTAGTGTCCTTTTCTCCATTTCTCCACTTTCATTTTACATTGTAGAAACAATATTCTTACCCCCAAACCTGTATAAACTATCAGATAAATCATCAGCATTCTTTAGAGAGGCAAAAGTCTGTTCTACTAAGTTGATGATTTTCGAGCCAGGGATATAATTTGCTGTCGCTTCAGGCCGTTATTTGTGGTATATCAAAACATAGTGTCCTTGGACAGTTGAAATGAGATGATTTTAAGGCAATTCAAAACACACATTCATCATGACATTTACATTTTGCTCAATGTGTTTTTAGAAAAAGAAATGTGCTTTACAAGCAGAAGTCCAATTCTTTTAAAAAAATATATAGCTTTCACAGTTGAATATATTAAGTAAAACAACAGCCTTATGATTCAATGAGGGCTATATTTGTTTTACATCTAGTGACCCCTTTACTGACCTGTGACATTTCAGTGAACTGTTTGTTATGCTATTATGTAACTCTTTAAAAATAACAGTTTAAAATATGACACATTCTAGTATTATTTTCTCACCATTACTTGGAATTCTTACATTTTTTAAGTGTTTTCCAAATTTATATCACTGAATTGTAACAGCACATAGAACTATTTTTGTAACGTCATACCTCTTTTCTCACTGAACTGTCATAGTCAGGTTAAATTATTTATAGTCCTAAATTATTTTCTATGATACTTAATGTTCCAGCCTGTTTGATGCTTACATACCTCTCAGCGCAGCTATTAACAACAAACAATAAAATACAATAAAATTATTCATTAATGGGCTGGCTGAGGGGATGCTTCTGTATTTCTACAGTGAATAATCCCTTCTTTATATCCATGGACATTCTGACATACTATTTTTGTAACTCCATGCCTAACAGTGACTCATAGAGGACAATTCCACCAAACTGCTTTGCTGAATTTAGTATCCAGTTTCAGATACTATATGTGATTGTCAGTGTTTCAGTATTCAAATCAGACAATTTCCCTTTTAATATACCATATTTTTCCATGTATAAGACGCCCTCCCACTTTTCTAATCCAAAATTAAGAAATCTAAGTGGAGCTTAGCAAGTGTAGGGGAAAAGGGATGAAAACGCTGCGGGATCACTTTGATCCCTGCTTTCCCCTCCACTTGTCTGTGTTCTCTCCTCAGCTTACTTCCGTGTATAAGACGACCCTCAATTTTTAGTCTAAAGATTTTAGACAAAAGTATAGTCTTACACACAGAAAATATGGTACATATCAGCAGAGAGCAAGGCATAGCCCATTCTTATTTTTTTAAAAATAATGCAGAATAGAGCACAATCTCTTTCATTTGCAGAAAATCCATGTGAGAAAGTTTAACTAGATTTCTATTTTCAGTTACACAACAGAGCTAAGAAGGCCAGACAGTGAATCTATGGATGAATAAGAATAGTTTCTGAGATCTCACATAGATTGACATCTCAGGTGGATCTCAAAATGCAGCTTTACAGAATTTATTCAGTCACTGTCATATTACACACACTTTTCATCTATCAAATCCTGAAGTGCACAAAATGCATGTAGTGTCCCCTCCCCACCACATCTCATCCTTTTAATAATGGGCTTGGTGTGGCATATATATAGCAGGTGTACTTACAAATCAAAGACTAAGTAATGAAATCCTTCTTCTGATATGCTGTCATGAAGTCGCACTGTTAAAAGAAAAAGAAAAAATATATTTATTTATCTATTTTTTTTCCTAGAGGCTAATTTTGACTTTTCTCAATAATTATCTTCCATTAATTATCTTTCATTTTTATTTTCTTGGTTTTTTTAGAACTTTATTTTACTTTACTTTTTTCTTTAATTCTATGCTCTAAAGAACGGTAGCTTTTCTTGCTACACTGGAGCTATATGCTCAGTGGCACATGGTGCCTACCATGGATGAGGCAAAAGGTAGAGCAGGCAATGAAGTGGTAGGGAGAGTGTGGGCAAATATTATATTCATATATATGTGCACACACACACATAATTGAAAAATGCTCTCTCTCTCTCTCTCTTTTTCTGTTTGTGTGTGTGTGTGTGTGTGTGTGTGTGTGTGTGTGTGTGTGAGAGAGAGAGAGAGAGAGAGAGAGAGAAATTACATTCAGACACTTCTTCATCCCTTTCCACTCATTCACTCCATAACTTCTCCACAAGATTAATGTTATCAATCTGGAAGCTGGCGGCAATCACCAATTCCAGTCCTCTGGTATAGGAGACCTTTAACAAAAAGAGGTTTGGTCCACGTCCAAAAGAATTAACATGTTACAGCTTTTACACTCACCACAGAACCTGCACAGCCTGGAAGACACCTGCAGGCATAATCTACTTTCGGCCTTTGTTGGGATTATCAGAGAAAGCTGCACTATCCTTGTACTTGCTTTTCAGCAGTCATTTTAATTTTATGTTTTCTTGTGTGCTTACTCTGGAACTTTCCATTCAGAACTATAAAAAATTAATTGTCTGATTATTTGGAGAGTCCCATTTTGCACATATACTTGTGGCTCTCTGCTTCCGAAGCAATCATGTTTTACTGTTTTATTACCGCAAGAATAGGCAATACCTTTATAGACCACTTTTTAAAAATCATCATACAATACACAAGCTTTCATGGATCAAGATGACCTCGTCAGGCTTGTACCAGTGTGACGAATATTAAGCCCGAAAGTTCATGGCAAGATGGATTTTGCCAGGAAACTTACTCTTAGATGTAAAGTCCAAAGGTTCTTGGCAAGATCAATTTTGCCAGCCATGCCTTTCTTAGACGTAAGTCATGAAAATGTAGGCAGCATTAGAGTTGTTGTTTTAAAGTTACAGTTGAGGCAGCTGTAGATTGGATACCACAAATTCACTCTGTGTTCTGTTTTGTGACACACACACACCCAGCCAGGGAATACAAGCTGAGCTGAATGGCCATCTTTCCCTAACACTTTTTAAATGGCTTCAAAACCCAACTAGTGCCTGAGGAATATGGCCTAGAGGCAGCCTGAGAGTAGTTGGGAATAAGCTGAAGGGTGGGAGTGCCCCGCTAAATGACTAGGCTCCTCTGGTTATATCTACAGTTAGCAACAGAGACATCATCCAGATGTTTACAGCAGCAATAGTACACTGAATGTATCTCACAAACAGTATTAACTAACACACTTTTTTCAAACCCATTCTCAATACAGAAATCTTTGTAGGGTACAGTGCAGTTCCAACAGAATGTCAGGGATGCTGGGTAGCCGGGCAGACACCGTTGGAGGAAAACGATTTTGATTTCCATTAAATAGGTATCAGCTTGTAACATGTTTCAAGTGTCAACAAACGCCGAGTAGCAAAAAGAATAAGCTGTTTAGTCATTACCTTAACAACGAAAACACTCAGGAGATAGAGAAACAAAGGCATATTATCTTTCACAGCCTTCACTGTGAATACATCAAAAGCACTTTGTTCTATCAAGAAAGGAATGAATACGAAATTCAATATAGTTTGCTTCATATTAGGAAGCTATCAGAAGTACTGTAAAAGGTAGCTTTTGTTACTAGAAGAACTACTGTGTAAAAAGCAAATTTATAGGACTGGTCTTTTCTACTTTTCAAGATTGAGCTACGAACTGAGCCCAGATCTTATTTCTGATACCCAGATCCGATCTGAAAGTGCAGATAAGTAATTACTCTATCAAATGCCCTATCATACAAAAATCTACACATTTTTCGTTTAGAAAACTTGCTTCTGATAAAGTGGCAATACCTTTTACCCTGAAGGCACTAGATGAACATATTTCTAAAGGAAGAACACAGCTGAGGAAGTTGCCGTTTCTGAACAACAACAAAAATGACTTATCAATCGTTATACTTTCTTGACACCTTAATATATGGATATTTCAAGGAGTTAATTGGGTTGCAACTAGAGATGGGGATGGATATAAAAACAAATTGACTTTTTCAACGAAAATAACCAATTAGTTAAATACGCATCCCTTCATATTCATGAGTTGCAGAGACTCCCACAAATACAAAGGGACAAATATTTACCCATTTTTATTCTTCCTTCAGAATAAAAAAAAACAAAAACAAAAACCCACAATTTTGCCTGCCAGCCACTGATCAACTGATCGGTGGCAGATAGGCAGCCACCAACCCCCACAGCCACCACTCCAACTTTTAACAACTCACGAAGCGTGATGACTCACCAAAATTTTGAGTTTACAAATCTCTAGTTGCAACCAATGATGTGACTGTGTTACACCATAGCTCCTTCCACTCAGGGAAACCAGTTTCACATTTATGCAAGTATCACATACTTTGATACCATTCGCAGAAACTGTTTCTGCTAGTTGCTCTGTGAGCACTTACTTGGTCAACAGTTAGCAAAGCAACACTGCTTTTTTTTGTTTTCCAGTTAGCCTAACAGTGGATACAACTTTAAAGATTCCCTAGTCACAAAAGCAAAATGACTTAAAAGTTTTAAAAACCCATAATTAAATCTAAGAGTATGATGTCATTGAAGTAAATAGCCTGAAACCAGCATGTACCAGAGCAGATAACAATGTCTTTTTTTTAAAAAAAATGTGTTATTTATTTAAATCAGACATTTAAGATGTAACATTATTTATTTATTTATTTATTTATTTATTTATTTATTTATTTATTTATTTATTTATTTATTTATACATACCCTGTCCACCTGGTCTTACAACCACTCTAAGCGGCTTCCAAATGCATAGATAAAAACATACAATTATGACACAAAATTATATTTATGGTTAACATGTCTTTAGGGTTTTTTTTAAAGACCCACAATGTAATGGTTTAAATTTAGAATGTGCTACAGTTCGAGGATATAATTATGAAATAAGGATATGTTATGATATGTGTTCATATAATCTTTTCAAAACCAGTTTTCTAAACAGAGTCTAAACAGTTTGTGCATGGTGATCCCAATTTAAAAAAAAAGTCATAGACTGCTGTATGAATTATTTAGATTAGCTTATCACCCTGGGGTTCCCAAAATGATGTAGTGAACAGAGTGACAAATAAAGACTATAGAGAACAGAGTTCGAATTCCTACCCAGCCATGGAAACTGACTGGAGGAGTGGAAGTGGTAAAACCACTCCTTAAATATCTCAATTGTCTTGAAAAACCTGTCAGGGTCATTATAAATAGGTTCTAACTTGACAGTAACAATAACTTCTTCCTAGGACTTAGTCTAGCAGAGAAGATCATAAAGACCAGGAGTTCCCAAATTGGGTCGGTGTATCCAGAGTTTTACTGTACAATTGCACTCATATCACATGCTAGCAAGGTTATGCTCAAAATCCTCCAAGACAGGCTTCAGCAGTATGTGGACCGAGAACTCACAGAAGTACAAGCTGGATTCCGAAGGGGTAGAGGAACTAGAGACAAAATTGCTAACATGCGCTGGATTATGGAGAAAGCCAGAGAGTTCCAGAAAAAAAAAATCTACTTCTGCTTCATTGACTACACAAAAGCCTTTGACTGTGTGGACCACAACAAACTATGGCAAGTCCTTAAATAAATGGGAGTGCCTGACCACCTTATCTATCTCCTGAGAAAACTATATGTGGGACAGGAAGCAACAGT